ATTCTGGTTGAGGTGACCTTTATTTATTTGTTAAATGACAAGTCAGAACATGGGCTGAGTTGCTGGGGAGCCTTTTCAGTCCTCTAATGAAAAGTCACAGGGATGATCTTCAACTGTATCCTCAGTCTCTCCTTATGCCTTGGTAACTGAATAAAAAATGACACAAATGTTATAAAATGGCAAGGCAAGGGACATATTTCTGACATAACAAAATAACGGTTGCATTCCCCAAAATAATGTTTTGATGTCTGATGTCAGTCTTTAAACTGTTAAAAACTGCTGAAAGTGCGAAGGCGCTGACACTAATACCATGATGCTCTTGGATCATACATAAGCAGAAAAGCTTTTAGCACTGAATCATTGGTGTAACTTTATACCCCCGCCCTTTTAGATTGTGGGTATAATTAAATAAGAATCATCTAAATTTTAATTCTTGAAGATGTTTGTATATATTATTGAATCAGACATACCTTTCTGTCAGTGATATGTACTTTAAACAAATACGCTCCCACAATACTGTTTTCTCCACCTGAAAGAAAAACAGAAACCACAAAGTATCACATTCTTAAATAAACCAGTACTGTATAGATAAATCCCATTTACTTAGACTAATAGAGTATGATGTAACTGATAGTAATATTGGCAAATAGTTTTATCAGTCAACAGATCAACTGTAGTTTTTCAAAAGCAGTAACTTTACCTTTCTGCTGTACACTCAAACTAGTGATTCAAGTGAATATCATGGCCAAGTTTCTAAAACCTTATTTGAAAAATATGTACATAAATGAAAAATATATATTGCCAAATAAAATAAATAGTTCCCATATTTGAAGCAAGAATGTTGAATATGAATTATGAATTGGCCCACCAATAAGTGATAAAAGTGTTAACACTTTGGGGTATTTATCCTAATTAAAACTGTGATTTTTTTTAACACTTAGATCTACCTTAATATTTTCCATATTAATATGCCAGGATAGTTATATATGTTCTAACATTTACAAAGATTAGAAACATGGGGAAATAAACAAAATGCAATAGCTTATACAATACCAGACGAAGTTGAAACAGATCTAAATATTTATTGAAATTTATTTGTCACTACGTTTATTAACATAGATCTAATACAGTTAAATATCGTTTAATATAATTCTGTAGTATGGTAGCCTACGTGGCAACATATGCAGATCGAAAACCGAAAGAATATGGTTGCTATCAATTCCATTGTATTTTTCATTGGTGCACATTGGCTACACCTATCTCACTTTAATAATCAACAAACGATGACCAACTCACTGACAATATATGGTGATATTTAACTTTTGACTATCGACTAGCTTATCATCACCAGAGAGGACAATACCGCAAACACCCCGTTATAGCGCGCGACGAGAAACTCGTTTTACTTTTGCTCGTTTTCATTAGAAAGGAGTCGGACATAGATCTAGTTATCGGAAAATGATGAATTGATTCTTTTTTCGGAAATAATAAAAATACACATGATAAGCACCTTGCTATGATAAACTTTATAGACAGCAGCAACAACCTGATGATCCACATTTAGGCTACTTCAGTCAGTGCTAATTAGGCCTTTTCGGAAACATCAAGTATGTTTTTGTCTCTTCCCGAAAATACGATTTTTTTCATAACATCATTGATCACTTTAGACTAGGGCTATAACTAGCAGCCTACAGAGAGTCGATCTGAATACTTCCATTGTTTTGATTCCCTCTTTTCGCTGTATAAGAGAAATCTACTTAACCTTTCCCATGGCCTGGATGAGCCACATTGTTGCACAAAAATCAAAGTCAGAAGATTAGTACATGTAAACTTTAAATAGTAATGATTTCAGAAATAACACAGAAGAAATGGCGATAACTGTCAGTGCGGTCAGTAGGCGATGCATAAGTTAGGCCTATTTACAAATCTACACGCTTACGAACGAAACCCGAACATAATATGACGGCCACAAAACGCCACCAGATTGAATTCTGGTCAAAAATATACCGCTTGCCCTTGGCAATTACCCTTGGTATCCATAAAATAATAATATGGAAAAAAGTCTTGGGCCCCCTTCACCTCTATCATCAAGTTCTGTGTATCATATTAATATCAACACTGACGCTCAGTGAAAATGACCGGCAAACTGCATTCTTAACCCTGCCACTTCTGAATAATACGATACATTTAGATCATTTGACGCACTGCATGCACAGAAACATATCAACAAGAGGAGACTATTTTTGAAAAATTAACTTACCTCAATCGAATTCACAGATCATCTGTCCAGTTCCAGTTGCTGCACAATCACTTGCTTGTAATATATTATGTCCAGAGTGAGTTTGAGCTAAGATGGCTGGTGACAACAAATCTTCCGCGACAATGTGACGTCAGGCTAAACTTTTCTGCAGTCGCTCTCACGCCGCAAAAAATACGCGCCAATTGTTTTTAACTGTAATATTGCTTGTGACAACATTTAGTTCGTTAATAGATATATATGTTTAAAAAAAAATAACACTAAGAGATGGTAGATCTACAAGTGGTTTCCTAAACATCATTTACAAAAAGTACTGTAATGTCCAAAGCACAACGTTATCACAACGTTAATTTGCAACGTTGTTGTAACGTTGTCACAGATATACGCAATTACGTTCTCGAAATATTAGTATTAAGAGATGAAAATTCAAATGCCGAATATATAGAAAGGTAATGCATTACTAACTTGGTTTTCTGACAAATTCATGTTGATTTTGATAGAGCAGTTCTATTCCTTCTATTCTATTCTATCGAGAAGCAAACTCAATAACGTTTCACCGACGTTTCAGAAACGTAGTTACAAAACGTTGTGTGATGTCCAATGCACAACGTTTTCACAACGTGAATGTGCAACGTTGTTATTACGTTGTGAAATAACGTTGCAGGTCGACGTTAAAATAACGTTGTTACAACGTTATATCACGACGTTACCAATCCACAACCTTTCAACAACGATGGAAGTGCGAATCATGCATGTATGGCGAAAATGTTATTGTCATTGTTTGTTGTTTAATCGCCTCTTACGACAAGCACGGGTTGCTGAAAAGTGAAAACCAAATCTAACATTATTGTAATTTTCTGCCAAAATGTAGTTTATTTCGAGTAAACACCTTTGTTTTTACGCTTTTCGCGATGAAGACTATTTGACGTCGCACCAACGTATGAGAAACGTTCTCATCATAACGTTGCATGGCGCCCGATGCACAACGTTTCCACAACGTAATTTTGCTACGTTGTGATTACGTTGTCACATAACGTTGGAGTGACGTGATAATAAGGTGTTTACACAGACTTTAGTTTATTTACGAGATGGAAATCCTGATTCCGAAGATATAGGTAAATAATGAATTACTGCCTTGTTTTTGGCAGAAATTGTGTCGATTTGTATGTAAAACTTTTGTTCATACAATGTTTGTTAAGGCGACAGTTGACGTCGCACCAACGTTTCAGGAACGATGTAACAAGACGTTGGGAAATATTCGATGAACAACGTTTTCACAACGTAAAAATGCAACGTTGTTATTACGTTGTGAAACGACGTTGCACAGTGACGTAATAATAACGTTGTGACAACGTTGTATCACTACGTTACCAATTCACAACTTTACCACAACGTTGTGAAAACGTAGTGTGTTAGCTGGGTTCTTTGATCTGAGGAATTTTTTTAAATTCATAAAGACCTATGCGTTTTATATATATAAGAAAGTACTATGTATGAAACTGATATAAAGAAGATGATGGACTAACGTGGACTTTATTATTTAATTATATATGTATATATACAATGAAACATGCCAACAACAGTAATATACAGCATACATTTCCTCTAAACGCTGCATGTTTATCATCCTACACATTTCTCTTGTCTTTACCGAACCTCGCACATATAACAGAAATATTAGTATTAGCAATATATAAGAAACTCACATTTAATCAAATTCAACTTTTTATCTAATATCTGTTTGAACACGAAGTGCAACACAAACAGATCCCAGACTCAGTTTTACTAGGAATATTGCAATAAGCAACACCCACACTATCAGCTCCCACAGTCTGGTCATGTGGAGGCGTCGTCTCATTTCCATAACGGCCACTCCCACAACTTCTTCTTCTTTTGGCCGAACTGAAAGGATTAACAAAACAGTTCACACGTGGTTGCAGCCGTTCACCCATGTCACAAAATAGTCTATGAAAAACAAGGAGCTCATTTCTATGTATTCTGTTTCTCTGAAACAAGAAAGGTAAATATAAGTTTAATGTGAATTTTTGGGGACATAGCATTACATTGATGTATCAATCAATCCCACGGAAATATCAGTCCCGATTATCTGCCGACACAGACTCCACTGGGCGTGAAAGACAAACCAGTGGTTCAAGAAATAGTACGTGTTTGTAGACTATTGCCGCACAGGATGGCGTCTGTAGGAAAGCGGCCCCAAGTGGGCAAAGTCGACATAATTACATATAAAGGACTGTGTACCTTCAGCACGGCGTCTATGATCTGATGAAGTGATCCTGTTTTCAGCACCAGTTGGTTCTCTATCCTGCTGGCCATATCGTCTCCGAGTAGATGTGGGGCTGTCAAGAATTTCACGCATTATCACATCCTTTTTGCACATAAGACACACTGACTACTAGGGCGTAAGTATTAAATCATACACATTATGACGATGTAAAAGAATCAAATGTTATTGTGGTTGCTTACAGTATCTCATAATCGTTATTTGAACATCACTAAACGCGTCAGTACATCTTTCTTGAAACGTATGTGACATGTTTTTGTCACACTGATTTTCAAGAGTAAGATTTTCTAACTTACGATGCAGCTTAAAGATTCATTGAATGTTTCCATAACACTCATCATGTAGATACGAAAACATCGGGTCGAATACGTTCACTTCGTTTCTCCCGACATTATTTCTGTGGTTACTTCTCTAATTAGAAAACTTCCGTATAAAACTTACATCTTCCCCGTGTCTCTGACATTCCTGCAGCCTGAAAAATATATAAAAGTTATCTTGGGAGTTGGTAAAACGTTTATTCAAATAAACACAGAGTAGCAGCATATTTTGTATAACAAGACACTGAAAGGCATTCTGCGCGCCAACACACAACCATGCTTCCATTCCCAAAGGTCAACTGACAACTGTATATGCAATGGTAACATACATAAAACACTAACCAGACACAAAGCTCATTTGAACAGATGCAGATATTTTGATATTGCATATTATGGATTGTTTTGATTCAATGTCATAATTGGTTACGGCATGCATCATTTGTCATAATTCATTATTGTTCAACGGCTATACATAGATTGCATTCTCCTAATCTTGACTGAACAAACGGGACGGTGCCTAGTGGTTAAAGCGTTCGCTCGTCACACCGGAGACGCGGATTCGATTCCCAGATAAGTACTTTGTGTGAAGCTCATGGCTTGTGTGATATTGCTGGACTATTGCTAAAACCGGCGTAAAACCAAACTCACTCACTAACTAAACAAACAGCTTACTTGGCAGAAGATTAATTAAGAAGCAAGTGTTAAATCTGCAATATTGAGGTTTGACATGCACATTCTAAAATATGTAGTTGATGAAAAGCAGAACTACATCCTTTGTCACAGGTGTTACCTTTGGTGCCTGGTTCTGTTGACATTTCAGCACCTCATCAAGTATGTCCGGTAGTATCCCTGGTGGCAACTTACACTTTTTCTCCACCGCTTTTTGTAAATCAGTTGTCTTTATCTTCATTTCTTCCAGTATAGTCCGTAGTTTGTCTGAAATATCCCAGAGAGATGTTTGATTCAGTGACGCATCTGTATTCTGGAACTGTACCTTCAGGGTAATTACTATTACTTGAGAATATTTGCATTTATACAATGTCATCTGGAAATATGATAACAGAGACCTAGGTTTACTAGGGTTTCAAAGTTCTTGCTCATGTTACCGAGATTTTGGTCGCATCCAGGTCCAGAATGTGGAGGACAGCAAGAGTTACTTCCTGACTCCTGGAAAAGGGAAACAGGAACTGCATACATGCAAGATTATAATAATAGTAAGGAGTATGTATTACATGTTATATGCTAAGATAACTCCAGACTAGGAAATAGCGCCTGTTTGACGAATGGCTGGAGGAATACAATACCGCATATGTTATCCACGGGGAAGACATGCTTTACATAGGAGCTGAAAACATGATCAAACTTTGTGTGACCCGAGCGTCAGCAGATATAAATAAATAAATAAATATATATTTATATATATATGTAGTTGTAACGTTTCTTCCAGCAGCAATCACACACGAACCTGCATCTCTGCTCCCAGTGGTGGCACATCTCTCCTTGAGGTGTTGGGTGTGTGATCATGAGAAACGACAGGTTCATCTCCACCATGAAGTCTGACTGTGACACCAGCGATGTTGTCACCTTGACTCTTGGCACCACTTCCAGTAGAGTTGCCTTTGTCCACTTCGTTGTTGGCATGACTAACAGTAGAGTTCATTTTGTCCACTTGATTGGCGGCGTGACCAACGGTAGAGTCTTCTTTGTCCTCTAGGCTGTTGGCATGACTACCAGTAGCGTCCTCTTTGTCCTCTAGGCTGTTGGCACGACTACCAGTAGAGTCCTCTTTGTCTTCTAGGCTGTTGGCATGACTACCAGTAGAGTCCTCTTTGTCTTCTAGGCTGTTGCCACGAATACCAGTAGAGTCCTCTTTGTCCTCTAGGCTGTTCGCACGACTACCAGTAGATTCCTCACTGTCTTCTAGGCTGTTGCCACGACTACCAGTAGAGTCCTCTTTGTCCTCTAGGCTGTTGGCATGATTACCAGTAGAGTCCTCTTTGTCCTCTAGGCTGTTGGCACGACTACCAGTAGAGTCCTCTTTGTCTTCTAGGCTGTTGGCACGACTAACAGTAGAGTCCTCTATGTCTTCTAGGCTGTTGGCATGACTACCAGTAGCGTCCTCTTTGTCCTCTAGGCTGTTGGCACGACTACCAGTAGAGTCCTCTTTGTCCTCTAGGCTGTTGGCACGACTTCCAGTAGAGTCCTCTTTGTCCTCTAGGCTGTTGGCATGACTACCAGTAGCGTCCTCTTTATCCTCTAGGCTGTTGGCATGACTACCAGTAGCGTCCTCTTTGTCCTCTAGGCTGTTGGCACGACTACCAGTAGAGTCCTCTTTGTCCTCTAGGCTGTTGGCATGATTACCAGTAGAGTCCTCTTTGTCCTCTAGGCTGTTGGCACGACTACCAGTAGAGTCCTTTTTGTCTTCTAGGCTGTTGGCATGACTACCAGTAGAGTCCTCTTTGTCCTCTAGGCTGTTGGCACGACTACCCATAGAGTCCTCTTTGTCCTCTAGGCTGTTGACACGACTACCAGTAGAGTCCTCTTTGTCTTCTAGGCTGTTGGCATGACTACCAGTAGCGTCCTCTTTGTCCTCTAGGCTGTTGGCACGACTACCAGTAGAGTCCTCTTCGTCCTCTAGGCTGTTGGCATGACTACCAGTAGAGTCCTCTTTGTCCTCTAGGCTGTTGGCACGACTACCAGTAGAGTCCTTTTTGTCTTCTAGGCTGTTGGCATGACTACCAGTAGAGTCCTCTTTGTCCTCTAGGCTGTTGGCACGACTACCCATAGAGTCCTCTTTGTCCTCTAGGCTGTTGACACGACTACCAGTAGAGTCCTCTTTGTCTTCTAGGCTGTTGGCATGACTACCAGTAGCGTCCTCTTTGTCCTCTAGGCTGTTGGCACGACTACCAGTAGAGTCCTCTTTGTTTTCTAGGCTGTTGGCACGACTACCAGTAGAGTCCTCTTTGTATTCTAGGCTGTTGGCACGACTACCAGTAGAGTCCTCTTTGTTTTCTAGCCTGTTGGCACGACTACCAGTAGAGTCCTCTTTGTATTCTAGGCTGTTGGCACGACTACCAGTAGAGTCCTCTTTGTTTTCTAGGCTGTTGGCACGACTACCAGTAGAGTTCTCTTTGTATTCTAGGCTGTTGGCATGACTAACGGTTGAGTTCCCTTGGTCTACTTGGCTGTTGGCATGATTTCCAGTAGAGTTGCTATTGTCTTCTTCGCTGTTGGTATGACTTGCAGTAAGGGTGCCATTGTCCTCTTGCCTGTTGTTATGACTTGCAGTAGAAGTGTTAATGTCTTCTTTGCTGTTGGTATGATTTCCCTGGAAGCGGTACGTTGTCGTTTCGAGTTCTGAACAAAATATATGCATCTTGTATTAAATCTTAAGATTTGAATGATAACATTCGACATTCATTACATCAATCAGTTGACATTGGGCGGCGAAACAGTGCTAGAACAATGTTTATTTTTACAGTACTGTATCAGTACATCTCTTACTGTCATTATCATGCAATTGAAACTGCACATGATTATTAAAGAACTTTTACCTTGACCTCCACAGAGATGAACTGATCCCACGTATCTTTGTAGTTGTGGTTGATCATCAGACTTCTGCTGATATAGTGAACACGATAATCATATTAAAAATAAGCTCACTACACAGTGACGGTTAGTTTCAGTGGTATCTTTATTTAATCGTAGTTGACTTGTGACTCATATCTACCTTAAATCCATATTCTGTCCCAAGCACATCTCCAAGTCTTTTAAATGTGCACTTGTTTACTTGTGTATCAAGATGTCCTGATGTTATAAGAAGCTTGTCTATGTACTTAAAGCGTGAGGCACAATCTGGAGTAAAGCCACAGCCATATCGCTGTGACATGGCAAAGGCGGTGAAGAGAATAATGTTCCTACAGCTAAGATTACCTGAAATGAAAACGGATAAATACATTTATCATATAATGGGTAGGTTTCTCGGCAGGATAAATCCAACGGATAAAAACGATATCCGTTGGGGTCATATGCGGATAGAGATGCAAATATCAAAGGTCAAGTAGGACTACTTTCACTGTTTATAAACAAACATGGCGTCGCCCTCGTCATTCGGCGATCGAGTCAGATTTAACCATCGGGAATCTGGATAAACTACAGGGATAATTGCTATCATTATCAAAAGAACAGTCTAATATACTGAAAAGCAGTGTCTAACTGTGACGTAGCTAAGGCAATTTATAAGTTTTGGCAACTTTGGAGATATAAATTTCGACACAATTTTGCGAGGGGGGATGAGGCCTAGCCAAGCGGGATCAGTAGCCATATCTGTGACCTGTATCTGTAGCCATATCTTTAGACCTCTGCGGCTTGAAACCTTCTCCACAAATTAAAATAGTTGGATTTGGCCGAAATAAGTCTGAATTGTTATCTTGTTTCGTTTTGTCGCTGTGTGTACATCTGACTACACTTCTTAACGTTATAACAGGACAGACCGACTGTCAACAACGTCTGGCCGTGACGTCTCATAGACTAGGGTAAGAGTAGCTTCCCGTTGACAAAGGGCAGTTACTATAGCGGACAGACCGATGGAATGCCGCGAAAGGCAATTAAAAACAACTGTTGTTTTGCGTATATGTTGCTTCGCCACTGTATAAGAAACAGATTTCAGTTGGAACTATATCGGCTACTGTCACTGTCCGACTGACACATCACCTACCCTGTGACGCAATAAATATTAATGCACGCATTCCAGGAAAAGTCGCAATGTTTCGGTAATGTTTGTGAGAGAGGGAAAGCGATTTAAAGCACAGAATTAAAGAATGACATTATATGATAAAGAAGTTATCACGCTTGGGGATGGGAAATATCCTGTATTAGGAATAAACACTATGTATTTAGCTCGCCAAGGCTCGCTAAATACAATGTTTAATCCTAATGCAGGATATTTACCATCCCCAAACACACTCGCGTGATAACCTCTATTTACATGTTTTGTTCTTTGTATTAATTACGTTAAGATTGATATATTATTTTTTTAATAATCTACACAATTTACATACAATCAATCATTGTAATGCTTGGACTTAATCCTTTCTCGACATGGTTTGCTTCTGAAGAAATGATCTATGTAATAACGATTGGTATTGTTATTTAGCTTTCCTTAACTTCACATTCACTAGACTTGCCAAACTTCAGAACTTCAGAATAAACTGCACCGCATCTTAACAATTGTCGCCTACAAAAATTCTTACATTTATCCAGGAACCGTAGAACCACTCCATTAAATTCATCATTCGGTCTGCCTTGAGGCCGGAATATCACAATGTGCAGCGGTGCAAGAGTCGGGGACAGTTCCTTGTCCAGCTCAACATGGAGAGACAGTTGGTCTATAAAAGACTCCATGAGTTTGTCATCATAACGTGTGCTGGGCAGAACATAAATCGGCAGTGACATATCTGAAACAGATTTTAACAGGCTTGACACATATATTTGCTACAATGTTAATGTCTTGATACATACACATAAAAATACATAATTTTAAGGACATGAATGACTACTTTCCTTTTCCGATTTTATTATAAGAATAAAATCATTGATAATTGTTCAACAAACTAATATTACAGAAATCTAGTTGCGTCATGGTCTCACATACTGTGTTTTGGTGTATCTACACAGCGCGTAGATTCAAAGAAGGGCATAGCATGTTTAAAACTATAAATGCCATTTTCCACTGGCTGGGTTTTCGAATCCAGATGTGCCTCATTACGGCAGAAGTGCACAACATTCTAAAATTATCGTAGAAAGAAGCGAACGTAAATTGTTCTTTCATTTGCAAGAAGAAGATGGTTAGATGATAGATACACGCGTCTTTAAGATTACAGCTATAAACGTAACTTCTCCAAGTTGACAACACATGCATCCAGAGACAATATGTCTTTTAGAAGTCAACAAAAATAATGACACCAACGCTTTACATGAAAGAGACAGATCCACCTTTCATGTTGCTTAGTTGAGAACAAAGGGTATTTTGTAAACAAACGTATAGTGATTCCAGCACTAATATAATAGGGACATGAATAATAGTAATAGAAAGAGTATTGAAACATTTACCTCAACCACGCCAACCAGACAACTGCAGACACATCTGTATGTTCGCTTGAACTTGTCTCAGCTATCCCCTTGTCAGGTTGTCAGGCGTTGCACACCACCAAGCTGGAAGGAGCCGTCTTGTTTATACCGCCGCTCCTGGCAACTATCGCAGACAATGTGTGCACACCAAGCTGGTAGGACGTGTTATTCCTCGCAAGCGGCAATACAACGTAAGTTAACATATCACTTGACCTTGGTGTATCTTCCTTCGTTAGAAAATATATCTTTGCAATATCTAATTATGCTCAAGTCTGCATCTGGTTGTTTTATCCATGAATGAAGCTATAGCATAGTATTGAGTAATCATTTTACTTGGAAATACAATCAGCCAGCACATAATATGTTCTGTATAGATGACTATTGTAATGAACAGGCATAAAATCATTGGACTATTTGGTAAAATATAAACGTATTTAATATTGTCATGAGGCAATGACATATGCTTAAACTACTGTAAACATAACTAAGATAAACTGTTTTTGTTGAATTTGGTTTATGTGGATAATAATTAAAAAATACCAGCTAAAAAAAACCTACCATAAGGATTCTTTCTTGAAAGGTATACAACCATTTATAGAGTCAAATTAAAAACTTCACATTTTTTAAAGTAATCCCATATATGATGTACAACGGACAAATGTATCACAGAAGGTAATTTTTAATCATTTATGTCCAAAGAAGGATTTTAATTAACGTTGGTAACCATAATTTGTTCCAAGCACTTACGGTATTCTGTAATAACATCGACAGTTGAAATCATAAGTCCCAAGCACGAGAATCGGATGGCACACATATTCAGTAGCGTGTTTGGCCACCATGTGCGTTGACAACTGCCACACAACGCCTCCGCATTGACCTTGTGATGCTTGTGAACACATGATTTGGAAGACGCTGTTGTTGCTGCAAAATGGTGCCAAGATCTTGCAAATTCTGTGGTTAGTTCTGGAGAGTGCGCAGACTTCTGCCAAGAGCATCCCAGAGGTGTTCGATGGGGTTGTGGTCGGGAGATCTTGACGGCCAGTACATGACGTTGACTTCCGCATTCTGAAGGAAATTCCTTGTCAAAATTGCTGTGTGGGGTCTGGCATTGTCGTGTTGGAAGATCAAACCGGGTCAATGTGCAGCCATAAAAAGCAGAAGTTCTGGTCGCAGTAAGCAGCAGCGTTGAGGTTGCCACGTATGACAAGAAGCCTGGAACGTGCATTGCCACAGAAAGCACCCCACACCATGACACTTCCGCCTCGAAATCTGTCAACTTCCCGTACACAACACTAGGCGTAACGTTCATGACGGCGCCTCCACACCCTCGCCCTACCATCAGCAAATCGAAGACTAAATCAGGATTCATCACTGAAGACGACTTGATTCCAATTCCTCTGAGTCCATCGTAAGTGTCGCTGTGCCCACAATTGACGTTGACGTCTGTGTAATTGAGTCAGAATCGGCCCGCAGTATGGCCGTCGTGCTTGAAGGTAAGCAGTTCTCAGACGGTTTCGAACAGTTTGCGCAGTCTACCACTAAACAGTTCATTTCTGGTTGATGTAGCAGTCAAATATCGGTTATTGAGGTGACGCAAGACAATCTGACGATCCTCTGCATGTGACGTCACACGTGGTCGACGTGGCCGAGGGCGATCAGCGGTGGTACCCGTTTGCTGTAGACGCGTCTGTAAATCATAAACAGTCCGTCGACTACAACCCATCGTCCTTCCGACTTCAGCTGCGGACGTGCCAGTCTGCAACATGTCGATGGCACGTTCACGTTGCACATTTGAAAGGCGTGGCAAGACAAATGGCCGTAAAGACTCTTGTTTCCTTGTATTTTTCTTTTTTGGTTAATGACTGCTAACAAGTATGGCTGAAAACACATGCGGTATTATGGCCACGTGACCAGTTCCACGTGAAAAAACACTTTTGCCACTATAGTGCTGTGCACATGATTTTGATCGATTCACCTGCGAGTGTTATCTGAAGACAATACGTGGCCATTACTGTTTAAATACACAATAGTGAGTGAGTGAGTGAGTTAATATTTAAAGTCACATCAACAATTTTCCAGCCAAGTCAATCAATAAATACAGTTATATATTAATACATATAGACATTAAAATCTGTTGACAAAGGACAGTAAAACCACTAGACTTTCACAGACGTAGATTTAAAACTAGCATAGCATAATGAAATTCATAACAACTCAGAACAGTACACAATAAAAATGGGCTATAGATCACAAATAACCAAAGGTAGGTCACGATACTAGGGACCATGGGGACTTACGGTACATCTGGTTCCTGCATAGTACCCCAGCAGGATTTACACCATCTCTATGGCTACTGGTGATTGTTAGATATTTTAAGCCAATGTATTTAAAAACAACAAATATTCTGCGATTACAATCCAGGAAAATGAAGCATAATTTGAAGGTGGTGGGACTTACGCACCCTCTCACGGGGACAATTATTATCCCCCGCCACGAATTGGAAGGGGGATATAGGAATGGGTGCCGTCCGTCCGTCCGGCCGTCCTTCCGTCCGTCCGTCTGTCACACTTCGTTTCTTGAAAACCGTACCTTATTTCTTCACCAAACTTGGCATATAGATAGATCTATCATGGGATAACATTTATACTAAGTTATCTTATAATAATTAGATCTACATCAAGTGCTTTTATGAGTTATCATGGTGTAATATTTATACATCATTTCATATAATTATAGTTTAGCAAGTAATAATTATCATTAGGTAAAATGCATATATAAAATATCAGTAGTTTCAGTTAAAGCTTTTTTAGATGGTTGCTAGCCTAAGGTAATGGGAGCGCGTCTTCTAGACATGCTATTCAATAAGACAAGAGTTACGTCTACATAGTTTAATTGATTTGAAGCTTTTAGATAAATGCTAGCCTAAGGTATCAAGATCCCTTCTCCCAGACAAAGGATATTTATTTATGTATATCTGTCATCACCTACCGGGGTATATTAGAATAACATTACTTCAATTAAGACTCATTAAGGATTAGCCCCCACACAAGCTCATCTATAGGGCATTAAGGATTAGCCCCCACACAAGCTCATCTATAGTGACACCCTAATCTCTTTCAAAGCATCCAGTAAATATGTCAACAAGATTAGTGCCAGTCCAACAGGATAAACAGGATTTAGTATTCCCCTCTGTCTAGCCATCCATTTAGCTTAGGACACAACCAATCGTGTATCAACCAATCACATTCCATTTTATTGTTTAAATTTTTGTTAAATACATACTGTAGGCAGGTTTTAAGCAGAGAAGGGGTTTGACTCTCTTACCAAGCAGACCTCTCTCCCACAGCCCAGAGTGTGTACCGACTCTCTGTGGCACCCTCAGTTATTATCTAAGTATATTGTAAATTGTTAATTGTTCTTGTAAATAAAATTGTGATTAGTCTCCTGTGACTCTGGCTCTTTGCTGACTAATTCCCCAAGAAAACCAGCACGTCATTTGGAAGGTATTGTTCACTCAATAACAGCACCATGATAATTTGGCGGAGAATCATCCTTTCCGGAACCACGGAGTCCAGGAACTAACTACGACCACCTACAAGAACCCATTGGAGGAGGACATGTCCAACCGTGATCATCTGATGGAATAACAAGCAAGCTGCATCTACCTCTGACCTCAACACTGGATTAAAGACAACCAACTCCTCCAAAGACACCAACAAAGGAAGAAAAAGTCTTCAAATATTGTAGGTACGACATTGTTGATTACTTGTCTTCCTTTAATTTAGTACGGTACATACTAATAGGTGTCATGGCAAATATGGAGTATGGTATGGAAAGTAACTTTGAAAGTGAAATTCCAACAGTGTCTTTAGTTACGCCCCTTGCCAAAAGTGTAATTCAGGCAAAATTTGGCACAAAAACAACAAATTGTTTGGTAGATACAGGGGCATCCATTTCTTGTATTTCGTCTGCTTTTCTTAGCACAGCTTTTGAAAACCTTACTCTTGGAAATTCACCCTTTCCACAGGTTAAAGGTGTTGGCGGCGAATTGCATTAAGTGTTAGGTTCAGTTGTGTTAGATTTTGTCATTGAGGATCAGGAATTTTCTCAAAGATTCCACATTCTGCCTACACTTCCAGAGGCAGTGATACTAGGTGAAAACTTCCTTAATGACAATGATGCAGTCTTAGATTATAGCTGTCATTCCTTGATACTTAACAACAGCACCTCAGACAGGCAATATATCAATTTCATAGCCAATTCAGTACAAGAGATTAGTGGATGAGCAAAAACAATAGATCAGATTTACATCCCCCTCAGAGTGAAATTCATTTCAAGGTTAGACTATCAGAGACCAAAGAGGACTCCCTCATCCTCATTGAACCCATTGCTTCCCTCATTGCTCATTCTGAAGTAGCAGGTGGTAGAACTCTTTCCAAAGTGAAAAGCAAAACTGCTACATTTAGGCTTATGAATCCCTCCCAAGAAGAAAAGGTTCTTGACAAGGGTACAGTTGTAGGCAAATTTAGTTACATTGAACAAGACTCTGTTTATGAAATTGACTCTGACCAACCATTCATCAGTACCGTTCACACCACTGAGAAGAGAGACAATGACACCAGGGATTATGTTAAAATTGCACAAGAATTAGGATTTGATTTGACCAATACACAACTGACTCCAGACCAACGACACAGACTACTTAGATTTTTGGGACAAAATAGAAACATGTTTTCAACGAGTCTTGCAGATTTAGGTAAGACTGACATGCACCAACATATCATTGACACTGGCAACCACCAACCTGTTAAGAGTAGACCATATCGTCAATCTCCTCATCTCCAAAAAGTCACTGAAGAACTTATAGATGATTTTCTGAAGTATGATTTGATCGAGGAATCTACTTCTATGTATTCAGCTCCAATTATCCTGGTCAAAAAACGCGATGGCTCATATAGATTTGTTTGTGACTACAGAAAGTTGAATTCTGTCACTTTACCAATGTCTTGGCCTCTTCCTGTTTTTGATGATGTTATTGATAACATCGCCAATGCACATGCTAAGATCTTCTCAACTTTAGACCTTGCTAATGGCTTCTTCCAAGTGCCATTACATGAAGATTCAAAGCATAAAACTGCTTTCGTCACCCATCAAGGCCTTTATCAATTCAAACGATTGCCCCAAGGTTTGACAAATTCTCCACTTTGTTTTCAACAGCTCATGAGCAAAGTGCTACGAAAATTGCTATTTAAGGTTGCGCTGATCTACATTGATGATTTGATAATTTACAGCAAAAACTTTGAAGAGCATCTCCAACATTTGGAGCAAGTATTTTACTATCTGAAACAGGCAAAATTAACACTAAAGCCATCCAAATGCAATTTTGCAACGGACAACGTTTCTTTTCTGGGTCATGTTTTATCATGTGGAGGTGTTCAAGTTGATGACAAAAAGATTGAAGCAATTAGAACCTTTCCAGTGCCCAAGTCACAAAAGCAGATTCGCTCCTGCTTAGGTCTCACGAACTTCTACAGGAAGTATGTGAAAAATTACGCTCACATAGCGCTTCCACTGAATGCCTTGCTAAAGAAGCATTCGGAGGCAGAACTAGGAAAGAAACCAAAGTTCCTTATGGTCACTTGAGTGTGATCAGGCATTCAACACACTCAAACATGCTATGAGTAATACACCTGTTCTGGCGTATCCAAATTTTGACAAAGAACTTCTTCTTGCAACTGATGCCAGTGATATGAGCATAGGTTTTGTTTTGAGTCAAAAAGATGAGAAAAATAATGAACATCCAATAGCTTTTGGTGGTAGAGCTCTTCATGGCAGCGAAAAGAACTGGAGCATTACAGAAAAGGAAGGCTTAGCCCTAGTTGAAGCAATTCGATCCTTTCGTCCATACCTTGCAAATTCATAATTCACAATCTACACTGATCATATAGCATTGAAGTGGCTGAAATCCATCAAAAGATGCCACAGGTGGGTTAGGACGATGGTCTTTGGAACTTTCTACCTACACTTTTGACATTGTTCACCGTAGTGGCAAAGCCAATGGGAATGCCGATGCTCTCTCCCGTAGGGAATATGAGGAAAATATTAACTATAATGATCAGACAGAAGAAGATGCTGAGAAAACAGCCTTCTCAGTAACTTCAACTCAGCAAAGCAAATCAACTAGCAGTACCACACTCTTGCCAAACACCCATTCATCCACACAAGTCACACAGACAACTCAGTCTGAGGATAATTGCACACCTATTGTCAATCACTTAGAATCAGACACACAGACAACACATTGGTCAGTCACCTTTGAATATGAAGAGGATTATCAGTCAGTACCAGTTAATGTTGTCGCAGCATTACATGCTACAAATGCTGATGTTACCCAAGACACATTGGTTGAAAAAGTATAAAAGAACATCCAAATTTACGTCACCTACAAAGGATTTGTCCAGATTTCATCCAAATCTTTGACTACAAAGAGGATGAAGTCCTTCCACAAAATGAAAAGGATCGTCAAAAGATTCTTATTGAAGCCAATACTTTTGAAATTGATGAAGGCATCCTATACCGATTCGTTCCACAAAGACAGAAAGGCCACGCAGACAAGTTTATTAAACAGCTGGCAGTCCCAAGATTCCTCAGACTGCAAGTCCTGCAATCCTATCATGACTCAGAGTTTGGCGGTTGCCACCATGGGAAAGAAAGGATGCACAACACCATGAGACCTAAGTACTACTGGCCCAAAATGTACAGCGATATTGCTATTTATGTCCAGACATGTGAGGTATGTCAACAGACCAAGAGGCACTACCATGGCAAGAAGGCACCACTTCGTCCACTACCTGTAGAAGAGGTCTTCACCCGATGGCACGTTGCCATTCTCGGTCCCCTGCCAACAACACCAGATAAGTACAAGCACATTTTGGTCATCACAGATGCATCATCTAGATGGTGTGAAGCCTTTCCACTTCGGACCCAAGAAGCAAAAGAAGTAGCAGATGTTTTCGTCAGAGAAATATTTTGTCGGTATGGCGCACCAAGGACCTTAATTTCAGACAGAGGTCAGAATTTCATGTCCAAACTTATCAAAGCAATTTGTGAACTTTTGGCAATTAAATTTACCCATACCAGCCCATACCATCCTCAAACAAACAGCTGTGTAGAAAGGCTCAACTCTTACATCAATCAATCACTAAGAGCCTATTGTAACAAGTCTCAAAATGATTGGCCCCGTTTTATTCCTGGCATCATGATGGCCTATCGGATGGCTCCAAATTCATCAACTCAAAAATCCCCATGTGTTATGCTTTTCGGCCGAGAAATGAGAGCTCCACTAGATGTAGCATTAATTCCAAAAGAAAATTTAGGCCACAATAACAAAAGTTATCTTTCCAATTTGCTTGAGGAGCTTGAAATCACTAGAACAATCGCAGCTGAAAACACTGCTCGGGCTAAGGAGGTGTATTCAGAACAATATAATAGAAAGGCTAAAGAACCAGAATTCGCCCCAGGTCAAAGAGTTTGGCTTTACTGTCAAAAAGTTGAAAAAGGCCTTTCCAACAAATTAACCAAAAAGTGGTATGGTAGCTATTATATCATCCACACAGGTCCAAATTATACCTACAAACTACGCCGAAGTTCTGACGACAAAATACACAAACCACTGGTCCACGCCAACCGTCTGAAGCCATATTTTGATCCTGCTGATCGTCCACAGTATCCTCCAGAACCATACCTCAATGACCCCAATGACATAGATTCAGGAGTCATGGATGACAACGAGGAACCAGTCAATGATACTCAGCTTGACAGCAACAATTCTCCATCAACAAGTTCAACTTACCAGGCTACTGATCAATCACCTCCACAACAGAAAGGTAAGAAGGTCAATTCCAAAACAAAGGCAGGTACTTCCAGCAACAAGTGTCCGAAGCAAAAGACCCCAACAAAGAAGAAAAACCCTGCTCCAAGTACAACAGAAAAACCTGCCAGTCCCCAGTACAACAATGACGAAGGAAAATCATGCCACACCAGGTCCTAGTGCTCCAACCAAGGAAAATGAAAAGGTAAACAAAGGGAAAAGAGGAGTGAATAGTAAGCATCACCAGCCCAAATCCAGAAAACAACCCGACGACAGCCAGGTACAACCTCCAAGTCCAACATCAGGTAATCAAACCAAGGATATCCCTCAGGTTTTTAATCCAGAGGACATCCACTATACAAGTACTATATATGCCAGGTGACTGTTATGGCATTTTTGCAGATTGTCAATAAAGCATGAAGAAATTATTTGGCCTCGGTTGGTATACATTTATCTTGATGTCAACTGATATCATAGGGGAGAACAAGAAGCACAATCTGTATTGCCATGATGTCTACACAACACGTGACTATCACCAGGCTAAGTCTCATCCTATGCACATTTAATTGAAAAGTGAAACATTTTAAAGTCAGCCTATGCGTTTCCTTTTTCTTGAGGAGTGTATTTGCTAGGGAGAGAAAAAACATCTTCAACCACAATATGTCGCCAAATGCTAGTATTAGAAACAGAATGCCTAAATGAAAATGATATATTTTACACTATAGTAGGTGACTGGTTTGACATTTTTTTTCAGCTCATCAATAAATCATGAGCTGGTTGGGCTATGGTAAGTATACATATATCTTGATGTCAACTAAAATCATCGGGAGAACAACAGGGAATACATGATTCATCCCTTGCGGCTTTTATATAGTTCCTGCTTTATCATCTATACTATGTGATACAGTTGAGTCATTCCTACTTTGCTGTTCAAAATAGCAGTATAACCCTAGATGTTCTCATGATCCAAATGTGCGTTATGTGAAGTTATGCTAAACAAACATAATGCAATATTGTTAAACTGTTGAATACTAATCTCTCACGGTAACAATGGAAATTCAACACTGACTTCATAATGTAGAAATATCTAGCTCTACCATTTTTAGTTCCACTGACATTTGTGAAAACATAAGCTAGGCCAGGCCTACCACTGGCACAATGTCAATAATCAACGAAACTGCAAGTAACATATGTTTCCCTTTCAGCTGATGCTGCTGATGTGAGTAATGTTAAAGATTTCTTCCAATGGCAATTTCCATAGAGATAGAGTCACTACAGAAATCCTGTCAATTGATTTGAAACCAAAAGTGAGTGAGTGAGTGAGCTGTGTTTATCGCTGCTTTTAACAGTATTCCAGTTATATCACAGCGTGTCAGCTTAATGTAGGAGGAAAGCCCAAAGTGATGCAGGTTTCAGACGTTTACCACTTAGGGGAAACCCACGAGCACGGGTATGGTGCTGACAAACCTAGAAACATAATCGGGGCGAACTGGGATTCGAACCCACTATCATAGGTTTCTGGCGTACCCAAGGGACGCAACTCTGCACAGCGAATCGCGGCGCCTTAAACGACTGTGTCTGTGTGCCTGTGTGACTGATGTCCAAGAGTTGAAGTTTTGAAAGAGATCTAATATCTATTCATGACTGGAAATCTTAATTTAATAGATTGGCATATTGTGCATACTTCCATACACAGATTGCATGATACACTTATCAAAAAGGCAAGTGAGAAGATATTCGTGTGGGCAAGATCTAAACTAATTTGATTCCCAGCATTAATGAGTCTAATTGTTAGTTGTAGTCATTTACAGAAACATCACATTGGGGGTTTATCCTTGGAATAAAAAAAATCCAACATGATTTGCAGCAACAGTGTCTCCCCTAGATATATATAAACATTGTGCCAATGACATTCTAGGCATGTGTTCAAGTACCTGAGGGTTTAGATGCTTTAATGTCACAAAAGATCAAACACAGATAAGATGAGAAAAATCTAAAAACTTATTTTTGCTTGTAGATGAATTAATTCATAGTGACTATCCAATGAATCAAAAACAATTTCAATAACACATCCTATTTAAGCTAAAAATTGTTAAAACTCCTTGGACCACTTGCACAAAGAGATCTTAGCGCTAAGATGATCGTAACTCCCATACTTTAACATAGGCTAACGATAGTCATGACGCTAAGATCTCTTTGTGCAAGAAGGCCCAGTTTTTTTTTAATTATTAACCTGAAATATTATTTTCATTGTATGTTTCTGAAGAACCTTACTGTTCTATCTCTATTATCATAAGAGGTACCTTTTTTCTTCAAGTGAAACAATTAACATTTCATTTGTGATGTATTTTTTTTATCTTTGGCACGCTCATAAAGAATTGCAAGGGCTCGGAAATATATTAAAAATAGAAAAATCGATTTACACCCGAAGTGGACTTTCAACATATTTATTATGTACAAAAGTAAACAGGTAGTATCAAAATACTTTCAACTTAATAACATTGTAGCTAAAAATGTTTACTGTCAAAATGACACTTCATGTGATATAAGAACAAATATCTGTCACAGTAAAGTAAAGTTGATAATGATTCAAATATTTGAAGAAATTGGAATTTAGCAAAATTGCAAATTGAACAATACACTGTCTCATACATAGTTCGAACTAGAGTTAGATACAGGTCCAGAACAGAGCTTGAGCGTGCTTCATGACAAGGATCATTGCTCATGCAACCAGTCACGTACCTGTATTGCCAAGACAAGTTTATTTATATGTCATAATGATATATCAAGCCAACTGTGGAGTTGAACAAAAATCCATTACAACAGTTAGCACGAGCAGAAGAAGCGGCAAGAAACGAGGCCAGGCGAGCGAAGGAGGAACAGGACCGTGCAGACAGGGAAAGGAGAAATGCTGAGGAAGCAAGGAAACAAGCATCTGATAGTGAATCAAGAGCTAAAGTTGCTGAAGAACAAGCACAAAAGGAAAGCCATACAGCGCAAGAGGAGAAAGAACTTGCAGACAAAGAAAGGAAGGCTGCTGCTAAAGCAAAGGAAGAAGCAGCTACAAGCGCAAGACGAGCTAAAGTTGCTGAAGAACAAGCACAAAAGGAAAGCCATAGAGCGAAAGAGGAGAAAGAACTTGCAGACAAAGAAAGGAAGGCTGCTGCTAAAGCAAAGGAAGAAGCAGCTACAAACGCAAGAAGAGCTGAACAAGCTGAAGAACAAGCACAAAAGGAAAACCAAAGAGCAAAGGAGGTGCAGACAATTGCGGACAAAGAGAGAGAGAGAGCAGAAGAGGCAAGAGTGCATGCAGAAAAAGAAGCCCGAATATCAGAGGAGATGAGACAAAAGAAGGAGTCTGCTGAGCAAGAAAAGCAACGTCTTCTGGATGAGAAAAATGAAAAGCAGAGGAGAGATGAAAATTTAATGGTAAGTGTGATATCATACCTACTTGCTTCTAAAAATACCTAAACGACTAGTCAACAAGCATACTGAAAAAAGAGCAGCCTTTAAAAAGATTTGGTTGGTATTTGAGATAAATACAGCTAAAAAAACACTTGAAGATGTCACTTTACCTGTACACATCTCAGAATTACTTCATGTTGCTGTAACCACTAGGGTCCCCACTACCCCCGACCGGTTGTTATTCAAGGTAACTTTACTCCACAGTGGTATCGGGGGAACGTTTTGTGACCAATCTGTTACTATTTATCAAACTACAGCCATGCACTATAGTCTTCCAGCATGGTGACACTAGACCCCATTACTGCAAGGCAGACACTGGACTTCCTCAGTAACATGGACGTTAACGTTTTGCCATGGCCTGTATGTTCACCTGCCAAGAACCCCATCGACAATTTGTGTGATCATCTTGACAGGCAAGTTAGATGGCGACCAATACGACCAGTAAACCAGCAGGACTTGGAGGACGTCATCAGGCATTCGGAGCGGAGACGTGTTGTAGCCTGAAATGATGAATGAGGCGGACAAATGAGTGATTTTTGACTTTACAGTGACTCACAACTCTCTAGTTACACATGCGCCTGATTTAAGTTGACCCCCTGTTGTGCCGTTCATATTCATAAATGTCTTCTTTAATGGAGTGATACAAAAATATATTTTTTGTTGTTAATGCTGGTGGCTTTTGAAGGTAGAGCTATTCGGGAGACAAAGGAATGAAAGATATGATTAATATCTACTGACTTTTTGGTAGAAAACTGGCCTTGGTTTCGATCATTTCACAACACATCTTGGTTCTACATTTTCAGCAATTTGCATGGGGTCCAAAGAAGACAGAACGAGGAAGGTGGACTTCACAGGTATCAACAGATATATCTGATTGTTAGAAACATGATAAATAAAATATATAATAATCTAACTCTTGCACATAATTGAACTCTCCTTGTAACTAATATATATTCAACATTTACGTCCTATTTTCCTTTCATCAAACACTCTGCAGGAGGTTGAACATCTTCGCAACCAATTTCTTGAACACATGTATGACAAGGAAGGGAAGCTGATTCGTGGAAAGATCCTGATATTTGGCCCTAGCGGTGCCGGAAAGTCCTCCTTCTGCAATGGCCTTAGATCAGCACTGAAGGATTCTGCCGCACCTGCCAACTACTATGCCGTTGGTAATCTTCACGAGTCACTTACTAGCAACGTAAGTATTTAACAGGGAACAAATCTGGATAAAGCTGAAACTTCATTTCACAAAAACCTGTTGTTAATTTCTCAGAAACATATGCATACTAGGAACCTCCTCTGTCGTCATCTATTGTTTTTCGGGTGACTTATTTTCACACACCGGTCTCTGAGGTTCTTAAAGTAAGGATCCCCAATGTTCTTGATATATATTTTAGTCTCTGAGGTCATACTTACCTACACATTCGCTGTAGATCTGGAAGCTGCTGAATTAGTTCACTAGAAACATTGCATCACTGGAAAGTCATTACCCCAATCTTTAAAATAATAACCTATAATACATCCATAAACGTTTTCTTCAAATATTTCCTGATCCTTGAACTGGAACTCATGCACCACCTTGCACTTCGTTAATATGTCTTAGCCTACTACTAATTCATACATGTCAGTGCCAAATCGTATTCTTTGTAATAAAAATGCTTCTGTTTCGTCGGTTTACCACACAGACTTAATAAAACCAATCTTTGTGTTTTACATTTCTTAAAGATATTGTTGCACGTTCATTTTTATCAGGAGAAATTTGTGTTGCATGTACATAATTGACTAGGTGCCAGTGCCATTCACTGACATCCCAGTCATCACCTCATGTTTCATCTTTCACCCAAACCAGTTTATTTTACAGTTCCAGCCTACACAATATGGGGACCACTGGATTATTGACATGCCAGGAATATTTGAATCCAGTGATTTCAAAACGGAAAATATTAAAGCTATTGCATCCGGCAAGGTTCGCTTTGATGCCCAGGTAAGCACTACACAGTACTTTCATCTTAAAGTTTTAGATATGGACAAAATAGAAATTGAAATATACATTTTTAAATTCAACATTCATGACCTACTGATACATGTTTTTGTTTCAAGATTACAAAACGTCTTGATGTGACAGGCAACCTGCAAGAGGCACGAAGGGACGTATCATGTGTTGTGCTGGTTCTCCATCATGGCATCACTTTGGGTGATGAATTGAAACGTCAGATAGAAGCTGTCATACGATTGGGGGGAGATGGCGGTAAGTTAAAAAAATGGCACGCCCCTCAAGTCCTGAAACAAGTAAAACTGCAATGCATATTTTTTTGACATTTTGAAACTGTGTGACTTAATTGAACTTAACCGAACTTTCAAGGTATTTTTCTTAGTGAATTTGACGGCTGATTCTCCTCCTGCTGCAATATTGCCAAACCGCAGGATTTGAATACTTCAAAAATACAACTGAAGAAAGCTTATGGCATATGAATAGGTCATTTAGAGTCTCAAAGCGCCCATGTATCAGCATCTTGAGTTGATGGAATAATTCCGACCATATTCCTTTATTTCCACTTCAGGTTATTTAATGATATCAGATGATAGATAACAATCTCCAACTGTATGCACAGTCTTTTTTGGTAAAAAGTAGAAGTATGTAACACCTGATATATGTAAAAGTTAAAAAAAATATGAATATGAAGGACACTATTCAGGATAATCACTTCTGAAATGACTTGTTTCTTTCATAAAACAGTATCCATGTATAGAAATGAGGCTATATATCAGGTCAAGGTCACTCCTTTCGAAATGTGTATCCATATACGATAAGTGGGATTTGCTTTGGGATGTGTGTTTTACGATCACTATACTATAGTGACTTAAGTTGTGTTATTTCACCTGTACTGATTTAATGTATATTGTTTCAGCCCTGTCCTACCACCTGGTGCTGACTCACCTGGACGAATGTGACCCGCAGTTCAAGGACCCAGATAATCTCCCCAACCTGTACAATTCACCTCGAGTACAGGAAGCTGTGAAGATGATGTCAGAACAAACTGGCATTCCACCATACGCCATCAGTTATGTAAAGAATTATGTCACGGAAACAAAAACACACACCAACGCGAAGCTGCTTCACCTGGAAGCTCTTGACAGAATCCTCACCTCTGCAGCTGACCAAGTGGAGAAGATGATTGATTTAAAACTTAAGAAGAACATGTATGAGGATGCCCCTGATACTGAGGAGACACAAGCTGTATCCGAAGAGAAAAAGCTTACATCAACCGACTGGACCATCCCAATGTCAATATTTGCTGTTGTAATGCTTTTCGTGGCTGTGGTATATATGTTTATCCAGTGAATGTAAAACCTTTCTCTGAGTATGTAGGCAAAATGTCCTCAATAATTTGTAGGTAATGTCATTCACCTTCACTCAAAACTAATAACCAATGTGTATTATTAATTTACAAATATATGAATTATTTTAAAAGAACATATTTATATTTGTAATCATGGGAAACATATGTGAAAGAAAAACACGATGGGTGCTCAGCTTATTCAGCTAACGAATGAAAACTTGAAATATGATGCCGAGCCGATACACAGGCTGTATCTGAAAGAAAAAGCTTGCGTCAATCGACTGGACCATCCCAATGTTAATATCTGCTGTTGGGATACTTTTGTTGGCTGTGGTATATATGTATGCCCAGCAAATGTAAAACTATGCTCTGCTATGCATATGAAAGCCATATGTTTTGACATTAGTGAGTGAGTGAGTTAAACTTGAAAGTCACATCGTTACTTCACAGCCAGTACACAGATTGAAGTGATGATATTAGTATTTGTTTGCTGTGATTCTCAGTATATTCATTAGAGCATGTTTTTGAGCAAGAGAAATAAATACAACCCACAGAGTGAAATCCAAAAATAGGGACACTACTGAGCTGTGACTTGCCTTTGCATGTGTGTCTGACCGGTGTCACTGGTGGGGTACGCTCACCTTTTCACGAACACCTGGTATCATCACTTTTCCATAGTGATTCGTAAACACATGCTCATGATATAGTCGGACCCTTTTTCTATACACTTGGTTTTTAGCAGATCTCTTATGAATATGGAAAGAGCTTGTATTATAAGTTTTGGAATGGCATTTGTCTGAGGCATCATATGAATAACATTACTATGGATTGCAGGTATTTGGAGACTGTGATTCTTAACATTTTCATCAGGTCATGTTTTTTACCAAATAAATTCAACAAAGATTGTGTATTCCAAATATTAGAGACACTACTTGCCTGCTGCTTGCTTTGTTGTTTTACGCCGCACTCTAGCTATATGACGGCGGTCTGTAAATAATCAGGTCTAGAACTAACAATGCAGTGATTGACATCATGAACATCGATCCACGCAATTGGGATACGATGACATGCATCAAGTCAGCGAGCCTGACCACTCGTTTGTCGCCTCTTGCGACAAGCACAGTCACATTTTTCGGCAAGCATGGGTTGCTGAAGATCTATTCAACCCCGAATCATCAGGGTCTAGGGACACAACTGTTCTGTGACTTGCCTTTGCATGTGTTTCTGACTGGAACACCTGGTTTCATAGTGAGTTCGTACACATATGCTAATGATATCGTCGGACTCGTACAATCGACTTTAATTTTAGCAAATATTTGTTATGACTATGGGAAGTGTTTTTATTGTAATATTTAGAATTGCATCGGTCTGAGGCATCATTTGAATAAAATGAGGGCAGAAACATACATTTTGTATGGTATTTGAGCAGTAAGTTTCCTATGGAACAATGGAATACATAATTTACCATAAAGTTGTCAATAAAACATGAACATTTATCTGTACTCTTGTGATGGGGTTATATGTTGTGGCGGGAAGCTATGGATAAACTAGTCTTTTATTACTTTTCATAAGTGACGCACGTTGTAGACAAATTTGCAGGGCTTATTTCATCTGTAAATTCAGTCTTACAGGTTTTAGTCAACACTTGATTCATTGTGATATATATATATATATATATATATATGTTTAGTGTCAAGTGTTAAACATGTTTCTATTCAGTAGCTGGAATATCGCATAACACAAAACTCACCTGGCTTCTTTACTGATCCTTAAATTTGTCCAGACACAATAGGTAGAAATGACTTTATAAAAAAACACACCTTTCCTAAGGAATGCCTATCAAACAATATGCAAAAAAATCTGTTACCATAAAATTCTTCTTGAATTGTTCATACCGAGAGAGTGAGTGAGTAATATATTTAAAGTCACATCGGCCATATTTCATCCATATCATGACATGAATAAGTTAACTCTCAACGAAGGACAGTACAACAACCAGTACAGTGGCACTAGCCACTGAACCACCATCCTTGGATCCATCAGTAAATATAGATCGATATGTACTGTAGGTATGCCGTAACTGATTATATTCCTGCTGATACATTAAAGGATTAGTTTTTGATTTCTTTAGTTTGTTAATTCAACATCTACCTGTGGTTTAACCAGTTGCCTGGGGGGAGACGACAGTAATTTGGTTGGAGATATGTTAGTAAGTTTAATGTTTGCAGCAGAAACGTCTTGCTTTATCCGTATGCCATGAGGCGGGAATTGCTTCTTAAGTTAGAGATCCTCATACAGCGGATTAAATACGTTGTGATAAGATAGAAGATAAATACTATGTGTGTGTCTATTTCCGGGATTTTATCGAGTATTCGCATCTTGGAAATTTATCTCGAGACCCGAAAGCGTTAGCTTTCCCAACCATTCTTAAAACTCTTAACCCCACTGATGATCCACCTTAATCGAGGTGAACTTTACCAACGCAAATTGGTCATTATATGAGATACTATGTATTGACATCATAAAACATGTTCTTTTTAGGAATATTCCAGATCCAAAAGAGCTGTTTTCGGACTTACTCAATGACATTGCTGACCAAACAATTCCAAAGTGCTCTGCGAATCCACATATTCGTAAACAACTGAATGCAAACAGAAAGTGTAGGAAGAAAGCAGAAACATATTTGCGCAGACATCCTACAGTCCATAATTTAGATTAGGCTAAAATCCCAAATGCCAAGGTTCGATGCGCTTTTAAACAAAATGAGCGACCATCATGGAGGAACTATGTTTCCAAAATAAATTCCTGTACACCTATCTCCAAGGTGTGGAACATGGTTCAGAAAATGAAAGGCCAAGGTTTCAAATCTTCTATTCACCATCTAAAGGACGGTGTAAAATTATTAACTGATAAAATAGACATCACCAATAAACTTAGTGAAACACTTGCAAAACACTCTTCATCATCTAACCATGTTCCTGAATTTCAAAAATATGAAAAACAACAGGAAAAATATAAAATTAATTTTAAGTCTGACAATGGTGAAGACGAAATTGAAGTCTTTTCTGTACATGAACTAAAAACTGCCCTTGGGCAAGCTCATGATACAGCGACAGGAACTGATAATATCCACTACCAGCTATTGAAGCATTTGTCTGAACCATGTCACATTCTACTTTTAGACATATTTGATCAAATATGGACATTGGGTGCTTTTCCACTAGTACTAGAAGTACTATTAATCAATTAGTACGTTCAGAATCCTTTGTTAAAAAATGCTGTTGTAAATAAACAACATGTGGTATGAATATTCTTTGATCTCGAGAAGCATATGATACAACCTGGAAGCTGGCATTTACAGGATTTACATGAATTTGGTTTGAGAGGACGTTTGCCTGATTTTATTTCACAGTTTTAAACCTATAAGCAATTTCAAGTCCGAGTGTGTACAACCCTATCTGACTATTACAATCAGGATCAGGGTGTCCACAAGACAGTATTTTGTCTGTCACACTATTCAGTATGAACATCAATAGTCTTTCAAAAGTGTTTAGCATTTCAGTAGATGGCTTGCTGTTTGTAGATGATTTTAATATTTCTTGTCGTGGTAAAAACATGCATGCTATTGAGAGACAACTACAGTTGTGTCTGAATAAGATACATAAATGGTCGCTTGCCAATGGGTTTACACCAAATGAAGAGGGGATCAGAAAATCTTCCATCTGTACCGATCACTTATTAGCTCAAAACTGGATTATGGTTCCATCATATATGGTGGAGCCTGTAAAAGTAATTTACAGAAATTGGATTCCATACATCATCATCGGGGATTGAGGCTCTTGCAGCTTTCCGGACATCTCCCGTTCATAGTTTATACGTGGAGGCCGATGAACCTTCGCCGTCTTAAACTTGCATTACAATATATTACTGAATTATACTCAAATCCATCAAATCCAATATATAATTGTGTTTTTCATCCCACTGATGAAGAAATATTTCTGTCTAAATCTACACTTGCCCCACCTCTTGGGATCAGAATTAAGCCACATATGATATCAGCTAACATAGATCTGGAAATTATTGCGCCAAATAGGCTGCTGTCTTCACCTCCTTGGCAACTTGTCAAACCAGTGGTAGACCTAACACTTGCCAATTTTAGAAAATCCAAAACATCCAATTAAGATCAAAGTATAATTCTCACCACTCTATTTTCACTGATGGGTCCAAGGGTGGTGCAAAACTGATAGTGCCACTGTCGTTGGATCAACAATTATCTCTTCTAGAATACCAGATAATAGCTCCATATTCACTTCTGAAGCAAAAGTTATACACACAGCATTGAGACATATTCAGGAACAAAGACAGTGCAAGCAATTTATCATATTCTCCAATTCAATGTCATGCCTACAAACACTACACAATGTAATCGCTACTTATCTTCTGATTCTTGACATTTTGGAAGTATATAATAATCTTGCAAATGGCCAATACGACATCGTCTTTTGTTTGTCATGTTGGTATCATTGGCAATGCAATGGGTGATGATGATGCAAAAGTAGCTCTCAACAAATTTGTGACACCACTTCTTCTTCCCTACAGTCACTATAAGCCTGTTATCAGTTCTTACATCAGATATCTAATTCAGAAGAAGTGGGACACCCAAGTGGGTGTAAATAAATTACATGCAATAAAACCAAATATCGGTTAAACCTATTTGGGTTGTCAGTCCAGATTTGATGAGATCATTGCGACGATGTCGTATTGGCCATTCAAGATATACTAATGAATATATATGAAAGGTGAGGATCCTCCATTCTGTATCCCTTGTGATGAAAGAATCACAGTCAAGCATGTACTGCTTGACTGTATTGATTTTTCTATCACAAAGGATAATCATTTCAGTGCAACATCAATAACGGATCTTTTTAATCAAGTACATGCTCCTTTAATCATCGTTTTTTTAAAGGAAATATAATTAATTATTAAATTTTGATGTACACAAGATATATATTTTATAAATTGGTAGTATATGACTATTAACTGAGATTGTGGCTATATCCTCGAAGGCGGTTTTTTCGTAGAATATTTGTTTGTTTTAAATCGCCGGCTAAACCCTGTCAATGGTCGCCAGTGACTAAAGAGAAGGTGTAGATCCTGCTGGGGTCCATGGTCCTCAGTATGGTAACCTCACTTTGCTGGTGATATATAACCAATATTTATCTATTGTAATGTTATGAATTGTCATATTGTATGGTTATGTACTAGTTTTACACATATATCTGTGATAGTTGTTTTACTGTCCTTCGTCAACAGAATTTTAGACAGTTTACATATATATACTGAACCAAATTAAAAACCTCACAATCTTAAACTTTTAAAACATTTTGACCAGTTATCATTGTGGGCCCTTATTGTGTACTTAAACAGTAATGGCCACGTATTGTCTTCAGATAACACCCGTTTTTGTGCCGGTGAATTGATCAAAATCATGTGCACAGCACTATAGTAGCAAAAATGTGTTTTCACGTGCAACTAGTCACCTGGCCATAAAACCGCACGTGTTTTCAGCCATACTGGTTAGCAGTCATTAACAAAAAGAGAAAAACGCAAGAAAACAAAAGTCTTTACGGCCATTTGTTATGCCACGCCTTTCAAATGTGTAACGTGAAAGTGCCATCAGCATGTTGCAGACGGGAAGGTCCATAGCTGAAGTCGCAAGGACAATGGGTTGTAGTCAACGAACTGTTTATGATTTACAGACGCGTCTACAGCCAAGTCGACCACGTGTGACGTCACATGCAGAGGATCGTCAGATTGTCTTACATCACCTCCGTAACCGATTTTTGACATCAACCAGAAATGAACTGTTCAGGGGTAAACTGAGTGCGCAAACTGTTAAAAACCGTCTGACAACTGCTCACCTTCAAGCACGACGGCCATACTGCAGGCCGATTCTGACAAAATTACACAGACGTCAACGTCAATTGTGGGCACAGCGACACTTACGATGGACTCAATTGGAATCAAGCAATCTTCATTGATGAATCCCGATTTAATCTTCGATTTGCTGATGGTAGGGCGAGGATGTTGAGGCGCCGTCATGAACGTTATGCCCAGTGTTGTGTACAGGAAGTTGACAGATTTCGAGGCGGTAGTGTCATGGTGTGGGGTGCTTTCTGTGGCAATGCACGTTCCAGTCTTCTTGTCATCCATGGCAACCTCAACGCTGCTACTTACCGCGACCAGGTACTGGCACCAGAACTTGGACCCGGTTTGATCTTCCAACATGACAATGCCAGACCCCACACAGCAATTTTGACAACGAATGGACTGGCCGTCAAGGTCCCCCGACCTCAATCCCATCGAACACGTCTGTGATGCTTGGCAGAAATCTGCCCACTCTCCAGAACCAACCACAAAATTTGTAAGATCTTGGCCATTGCACCATTTTAGCAGCAATAATGGCGCGTCTTCCCAGTCGTGTGTTCACAA